TTGTTTTAAAATAAAAAGTTGTTTTCTATGTCGTGATAGCTGCAGCAAAGTTTATATTTGGAATTCTTGGAACTTCCGGTGGCATAAAAAACTAGTGGCGTATTGCGGGAAGAGGAGGGGACACCAGAAATAGCCTCAAAAAGGGAATGGTTATGGGGCACTGGAAAATTTAGCCGAGGGACTAAACAAGAAAATATCAAGACACATGCGGGTGTGTTAAACAACATCCGGTTCGGGGACGAGTGTTTGGGGAAGGTAGTTTTCACCAGAACGTCTTAAGTCAGAATGTGCCTACTCTTCCAGACAAGCGAGGAAGCGGGCAGCTAGAAAATTCTTAGGAATTAAAAGCCCTTCCCCCCTATACCGTGAGAGGTGCATTTTTAGGAGGTCGTGCAACTGGTGCTGCTTTGCCCGAATTTTCTAGATACACAAGAAATTCGAAATGCAGGTAATGTGTGTTCAGATATCCATGGTACTGAGCCGTACAGAATGTCTGCTGTGAGAGCCAAAGTGGCCATCGCAAAATTCGGGGGAGGGAGTTGAACTTTGTTTTAGAAAATCCAGGCAACGTGTGTTCAGATATCCATGGCGTCGAGCCGTACAGAATGTCTGCTGTGAGAGGTGAAGTGGACGTCGCAAAATTCGTCGTCGACGGGGGATGAACTTTATTTTGGATATAAATATAAATAGTGGGTGCCTTTTTGGTCAAAATGTCCGAAGTGGGAGACTTTTGTGCCAGCTGGACTCATTTGGATGTGATGTTTGAGCGGTAAAGTGGGGTGCGAAAGCAAAACATTAAATTTTTATCTGTCAATAACAAAATAATTGAACATGTCACGCACGGGACATGTTTCACAAGTATAACAAGCGAAATGTAGCTCAGTTTACTCAGTGGCCCGACAAACAACCATGCTCGCTGAAGGCGTCAATCCTGAAAGCTTTTACGACGTTACATTTTCCGGCAAAAAAGACCCTCGAAAATTCAAATTTTGATGTTCGGAAGAATTGTGCAGCACATTTTTTTAATGGGCTATGCTAACGCCCCGGATTTGTCAGTGAATTCATAAATTTATCTCAAAAATAGCAAGTATCTACCAAAGGTAAAAGTGCCCTGAATCAACTTTTAATGGCAACAAGTGTAAATAGCAACCACATTTTGGTATGGTTATCAAGGGCTCCTTCTTTAGAAGGCTGCTTACAAGCAAGCTGATGGCGTATTTCATTCCTCGCACCTGTTTATATCGGAACGATTGGATGGGTCCCAGCACCAACGTCGAACTCTCCACCTTTCGAGCGAAGAACGCTACTTGCCACAGCGCTGTGTGTGCGAGCAAATTTATACCATGTTTGAATTCAACGTTTTCAGTAAGGCCTTTTGAGGTGCAAATTAAATTTTCCTCAATTTTCTTTAGAGTTACTGCTAATTTTGCAACAATTTCCTGCGTGCAATGAACACTTGGCGCCGCATACATAAACTCAGGCTGGAACGGCCAGGCGAACCGATGCGATCATGCGTTTTTGCACTGTTTCGTGCTGTAGCAAGACTGTAAGGAATCACAGTAGCTAGAATTTATGACATATTGGTCCTCGAAGTTCAGGAATTTAACTGTGTAGTTATGTGGCATGTCAGTTGTGGATGTCGGCTTCAGTCACCCGACAAATGGAAAGTTGCTGGTGCGCGAAAAAGGCTTCACTAGAAGAAATGAATTTGAAATCTTCTAGTCGCATATGAGTAGGAAGCATTCCCTTGAAACTCCAGCTTTCCAGCTTTTCTTGCTCCCGGGTCAACAATGTTCACGCCAAAATCCTCATATTTCCGTTATGTGAATCCCAGGTGGTTTTAAGAAGCTAAATTTGAAATATTTGGTCGTACGTGAGAAGAGAACATTCCCCTAAAGTTTCGGCTTTCTAACTTTCTTTGTTCCCGAGTTAGCAATTCTCCTGCCGAAACTCTCAGTGTCTGTATGTGAGTTCCGGGCGGTTCTATGCAGCTGAATTTGAAAACTTTTGGTCATACATGGGTATTGAACATCACCCTAAAATTTCAGCTTTCTAGCTTTTCTCGCTCCCGAGTTCGCAGCTTCCCCGCCAAAACTTTCACATGTCCACAGGTGAGACGCAGACGTGCGCGATAATTGATGCCATGCTCCTCAGGTAGCACTCGGCCAGAGGACAGACTGGCAAAATTTCAGCACCAAAGCTTGCGTGGTTGGCGAGTCAAAATACCCAGGCAGACGAACACAAGCATACAAACATACAGACAGGGTCGTCGCAACATGCGTTTTTGCTGCCTTTTGCAGCGCTCTAGCGCTAAACGGCAAAAACGCACAAAAAGTTTCTTAAGAGTCAAAAGCGATACCGAGCTGTTGAAGAGACATTTCCATGTCTTCTCGAGTGAATACTTTTCGTGGAAAAGGCATCATTAGTGTGAACGGCATACCATCGGAGTGCCCCCTGCTGTTAATTTCTACCCATAAACGCACGTGTGATAGTGGCTCAGTGGACTGCAAAACCATCATTTAAAAAAACCGTTGTATGCACACTTTTTGCAGCTCGAACTCCGATATGAAATACAACAAATAACTAAATTTCTCCATCAAAACGCTCCAGTAACTGTAGACTGATCACCATGGTTTCAAGGTCAATGAACCGGAGACGTGGAAAAATCAAAATTCTGGATTTCGAATGACTGTGAAGCAAAAGATTGTTTATTTGCTGTTCACGTCATCCTCATATTTTTCCTAGCACTGAATTAACTGACAAATTCTTGTATTCTTCTCTATTTTTGGCCATTCCCATTCGCGTAATCCCCCGCAAAGCCGTTCAAGCGGATTTTTTCCCCGCACTGGTGGCCTCCCATGTGTTCTTCCGACATTGTTTGAGTACTATTCAGTAGTATGCTTTGCTCATATGCTATCTGTCACTGTTGCGCAATCAACCTAACTCTTCTTCCTGGCATAAAATGCCTTGACAGCATCGCTCACACTAGATCGAAATTGTAGCACTTTACTGAAGATGCTGTAACTTATCGGCATACTTACTGTGCATCTCCCATAAATACTGGTGGCACTGTACTCCGTTAAATTTTTTCAAAAGTCAAATCATTTAACTGTCTATGCTATCACCGCGTGTCCCCAAAGGTTGCCCATGCCCGAGTTACGCCTTCTGTTTCATGAACATTTTAAGACCCAAATAAGGGCGTACATCAAATTAACTCACTTTGAATTTCTCCCTGATAACTGCACCATCCTGCAGCCTCACTTGCAGCTGGCAAAATTCACTGTCGCGCAAAACAGGCGCTACATTCACTGGAGGTGTGGGTTCCGGTCGTTGAACTACTTCAGGCTGTGGTTCCCCTGTGGTTGCTGCTTTTCGAGCTTCTCGATCCAAACGAATTTGTTCCAGTACGCGCCGACGTGCCTCTGCTTCCTGCCATTTAATATTAAAATCAATATGCGGTGAAGGCAGACAAAAAGAATAACTGGCTATTACGTCTGTCTCCCAGCACTGTTTTCACGTCTCTGGTCTAGAACTCAGTCGTTGAGATCCTACGACTAATCCAAAGAACTGGCGACCTCAGCATAACCATTATGAAGAAGCTTGAGAAAATTAACAGATGGAGGGTCGCGAGAAGGGACGGAGAAATGCGCCATATTCACAACTTCCAGATAAGTGAAAACAAAAAGCAGGAGCTAGTACTGCCAGCTGGTTTGGTCATACCAAAAAAGAAA